TCCAATGGTGGTTGTTTCATCCAAATTGGTTCAGTACATCAAAAGTTATGGTCAAAAATGTGTAAAACTCTTAATGTCAACATCGGTCAAAAAAAAGAAGTTATTTATGATCTTCTTACAGCATGGGTTGAGGCTGACATACCAATAGAAAAACTTAAAAAAGTCCGTGGATTTTTGAATATGTACTGTAAGGAAGGTAGTACTATACCTGCATCAAATACTTTATGTCAGTTATACTTACCAAGGGTTTTTAAAGAACATTTAGAAAATTTATATAATATATTTAATGAAAAGCCTATAGCAATAATCATTGATGAAACAACTGATGTTAAAGGATGTAATGTTGTTAATACATTGTTTGCCTATCACAGAACAACAAAGCTTGTGTCAGTTGATTTTTTAGAAGCTGTAAATTTTTCAACAATAGGTGGACTAATTTTGCAGTTGTTAACAGAATGGAAAATATTATTTAATTTACCAAAATTAATTGCATCTGATTCCACTTCTTACATGAAAAAGTGCTTTCGTAAAGCCTTAAATCCTGTAATGCAGCAATTAAAACATAATACTTGCCCTGCTCATATTGTAAATTTAATTAGTTAAATAATAATAACAATATTTTTTTGAAATTATTATTTAATAATTAAAATTAATAAATTTGTTATTTTAGTAAATTGTGGTTGTCAATTTTTCACTTTGACGTTGTCAAAATTTTAATTGCAAACATTAAAAAAACATTTATGTACTATAAAGCTCACAAGTCTTGATACATGCATTACCTAATACAATATGGGTTAAATCAACAATCAAACCCATCATTAAAGTTTATGCCATTACCTGTTACTACCTATTGAAATATGTAGTTCCGAATAGCATTTTATGTTTGTAACTATTTAAAATACATTAAAGGATTTTACAAGAAAGAGTTAAAACTTGAACAAATCCGAAGCTATTAAAAAAATAATAGATATTTTTAGCAACTTTGAAGAAAATGGGTGAGTGCATATTTACTTAACCTTTATTCGGCATTATACTAAAAAGTTTATTTCTGATTTTAATTTTTTTCAGCAAGAAAATGAACCTGTAATTCCATTCATTGAAAATAGAATTCAACAATTTGAAATTTATTTGCAAAATGTGAAATCTAGTATGGATTTTGGGGATGATATTAACTTTTATATTATGAATCTTGGATCAGATCCGCTTACTTTTAATAATGTATTTCAACAAGCTTTTGCAGCTGTATATTCAAAGTTTAATAATCACTTTTTGCAGCATTCTTCCTGTTCTCTTTTTATTGCTATACAAGTTTTTGACTCCTGATTTGTTAAGTTAGCAATTCTTAAATCATAACATTCAAAATTATTCAATTCAAATTTCCAAATTAAGACATCCTTCTAATGCTTTGTTGCAAGAATGGGCTCTTTATTGTAATTTCGATTTAGCTTCAATTGATTTTAACCATTTAGATGAATTTTGGGATAAGATGTCTATTTTACTTCCCCTTTTAAGTAATATAGCATTAGTTTATATTTGGTTACCTATTTCTTCTTGTGCTGTGGAAAGAAGTTTTTCCATGTATAATAATCTTAAAGAAGATAATAGGCAAAATTTAAGCGAAGAATCGCTAAAAATGTTAAACATGTTATATTTCAATCAATGTAACTAATAAATTTTGCCATTTAATTAGTTAATAATAAATTTTCTTAACCAAAAAATAATCCAAATATTTGAAATTTTTAATCCAAATTTATCCAAATATTGGGCCAGTATCCAAATAAATTTTTATGATTTCCAAACCAAATTTTTCTGAGTCTTTGATCCAAAATAACAAGCATTTTACTTTTATCAATACCTAATCATTACCAAAACACTGTTGCACAAAATCATAATATTGATAAAATGGATAAACAACAGGATATTAACTTTCTTACACCCAAACTCATTGACACTGACTTTCTTGCATATGTCATCACATACTTTGATTGCACTCACAATGAATCTCCTAACTACTCTATAATAACTAAATTTTACAAAGAAAAAGTTTTACCAGAAGCTAAAACAATCTTACATGAAAAATTCAACATTAAATTCAAAATACCAACTTCCATCACAGAGTCACTCTTCTTAGAAAAAGAAGAACAGGCTCCTTTTCAATAAACTAGTCTTCTACAAAACCCATAGATGCAGCTGCCATCCTATTAAATGACACAATTATAGTAGTTAATAGGAAAAATGATATAAGTAAACAGGCGGTAAAGTCTACTTATATGGAGGCTAGGATTATGACAGTCTGACCCAACGTACAGGGCAGACTATAGTACTTTGCACAGCTGTGAGAGCCGAGCATATAGTAATTGACTTTGTAGAAGACAAACTTAGAAGATTATTATCAATATCTTTAAACCCCTATAATCTTCATACATGTTTTAACAAATTCCTTCTTTATTACAACTTACCACTTTTTTCACATGGCCAAACTATTTAATCCTTCATACAACATATTAACAAACATAACTATAATAACACTGTTCCTAGCATTACCTTTTCTGTTAGCAACACCTATTATGA